ACCAATGCTAATAGCATTCCTCTTGCTCTCAGCTAAAAATGAATTCAAAACACCCCTTTTGGCTTCTTGTAGTGATAAACCTTGAAAACTAGTTTTCTGTCCAGCTCAAGCCAAAAATATCCACAATTCAGAATACGCCATTGAAAAATCAAAAAATAATTTTATATGATTGACCCAAGAAAATAATCAAGCCACCAAAAAAAAAGGGCGCTCGATGCACGAAGCATCACACATTCACACAGTGACGGAGCCACACTATCTAGTTAGGTCAAAATTTGATTTTATGTATATATGCTATATGTTGACTTCCCTTATTTTCTTTGTATGTTTACTTTTTTTATATTTTGACACTCCTTAGTTAAATTCCTGGCTCCGCCACTGCATTCACACAGGGTCCAGGGAATGGCGGCACCTCTAAGACCAGAGGCGGATCCCGAATTTAAACTCTATGGGTTCAATTTTAAAGATTTTTAACATTGAACCCATTATATTTTTAAGGGGAAGTTACATGATATACCCATTTGTAGAACTCACTTTCATGGTATCCCTAAGTTTTAAAATTACATCATATATCCCAAAAATATTACACGCTATACCTCCATATATTCCAAAACATATCACGATATTCTACTTTGGAATACAATCCAAACCTAACTTACCATAATATTCTAATTTAGAATACAATATTCTAACTAAACAGGCCATAATCTTTTAATTTGGAATATAATATTCAAACTAATGATACCACAATATTCCAATCGAAAATCCAAATATAGCTTAACATAATATTCTAATGAAGAATACAATATCCAAACTAAATATACCATAATATTCTAATAAAACATACTACAGTATTCTAATTTGGAATACAATATTCAAACCATATATATTACAATATTTTAATTTGGAATACAGTATCCGAACCAAACATACTACAACATTTTAATTTGGAATATAGTATCCAAAGCAAATATGCCATAATTTTTCTAAACATGCTACAATATTCTAATTTGGAATACAATTCCAAATTAAATATATCACATTATTCTAATTTAGAATATACAGTATTATATTTTAGAATAAAGTAGGTATACATGGTAAAATAATTTTATAAAGTAAGTATATAGAGTAAAATAAATATTTTAATTGTATATGATGTTAACTAATGTTTTCAATGGGCATACCACGTAGATTCCCTTATTTTTAAAGTTATGGGTTCATACCCATTGTTTTTGCAATTTTAATGATGTAAAATTCTGCTCCGCGTCAAAAGTTATGAGTTCAATTGAACCCGCATCTACCACATTATATCTGCCCCTGTCCAAGACGTCTGATGTAGCCAGCGTGCCTGACACTTGGCTTATTCCACGGCTTGAACTCATATTACGATATACTCTCTCCGTTCACTTTTCGCATATCAAGAAAAAAATAATTATTTTTTCTTATTTTGCCCCTAGCATTAATTACTCATTCCAAATTATTTTTCAAATCCATTAATACTATACACCAAATAATATGAGTATCATGATAAATTATGCATTTTAGTTATTAGTGGACAGGTAAAAGTGAACGGAGAGAGTAACGCAATAATTAAAAGTGTGTTTTCTCTTGCATTTCAAGAGATATGAATGGAATACCTGGCATGGAACGGTGGACAATTTGGGGGATGGGATGGAAGCACTAGTATTGCTGATGCTAAGGTTTCTCGAGTAAGCAGCAGAGCAGGAAGAGGGCGAGGCACCAGCAACAACAGCGGAGGATGACATGATTTTGTATTAACGTTAAAATTTCCACTTAGGAGAGGGGAAATTCTGAAGGAGTTGTCTGTGCGTGCCTCCTCTAACTTGGGCTCGTGTCAGCAAAGTAGTTATGTGGAGAAAAGGATAACAATTTAGTGGCAGATAGCTTGGTCTTACAGCTGAGCCACACGCCCCTCTCCTGTATACTTTCTATTTTCTTGAAATAACACTAGTATAGTATTACTACTTTATACTTTTTATTTTATTTTATTTTATATGGGAATGAAACGGAATCATAAGTACAATGTTTTAGTAATTACATACACATAAAATACGAAAAACATTTCTAATATCTAATACTTTGAGTTTAATTTATTTTATATGATATTCTTTCTTTTTAGTTCATTTTAAAAGAATGGCACTTTTTTATATCTGTAAATTTTTAATTATAAACTTTTTAGTTTACTTTAATGGCATTTTGTTTTAGGCATAGAAATATCATGCATATTTAAGATCACAAGTTCTAAAGTTATTTTTTGTATGTGTCAAGAATCATTAGTATTTTTAAAATTCTTTACCTAGTCAAACATTGCATATGAAATGAAACGGAGGATATATTCTTTAAACCTGTCATCTTAATTCACATAACTAAAGGGAAAAAAGAAGTCTAAGAATTAGAGAGTTTTAAATATAAAACGTGTTAAGAATTAAGAAAGCCAATGTCACATATTTTTTTAAAAAGGACTTAGGGAGTAGTTCTTTACTGAGTTACTGTCCCTTTTTCAACTGCAAATGGTAATAATTCTTTAAATTATAAGACCTTCAGGACAGTGGCCACCAAATAGCCATTTGTAATACCCTTATAATAACAACAACAACCCAGTAGAATCCTACTAGTAGGATCAGTGATAGAATGTACGCAGACCTTACCCCTAACCCGAAGGGATAGAGAGGCTGTTTCCGGGAGACCCTCGGCTCAGAGACAATAGATTCGTAACCACAACAGAAACTAGAAAAATAGTATTAGTCAGCATCATAAAATACAACAAATAAATGGAAAGGACAAAATGTGAAAAAAAATAAAAATAAAAATTTGAAACACAACAAAAACCGCTAGCAGTCCTAGACGAAACACTATCAAACTAGCCGACGCATGCGAGGAGAAACGCTCGACTACCCCCTAACCTACAACTACCCCCTAACCTACAACCTTAATGCTCGACCTCCACACTTTCCTATCAAGGGTCATGTCCTCGGAAATCTGAAGCTGCGCCATGTCCTGCCTGATCACCTCGCCCCAGTACTTCTTAGGCCGCCCTCTACCTCTTCTCGTAACTGCCAGAGCCAAACGCTCACACCTCCTAACCGGAGCATCTAAGCTCCTCCTCCGCATGTGCCCGAACCACCTAAGCTTCGCTTTCTGCATCTTGTCATCCACGGGAGCCACGCCCACCCACTCACGAATATACTCATTCATAATCTTATCCATCCTAGTGTGCCCACACATCCATCTCAACACCTTCATTTCTGCTACTTTTATCTTCTGGACCATTTGTAATACCCTTATTTAAACTATATCCAGTTTTAACAAATTATGAAAAGTTTAGCCAGTTTTGATAAACTTCATACTAAACCTACTTCTGCGTGAAAAGGACATCAAGTAGCCATTTTTAAGCAAGTTATTTAAAATATATCCACAATTTACAATATATTTAAAGATTAGTTAATTCGTTCAAACTCTAGGACACTGGCTTAGGACATCGTATTCTAAAGTTCGAATATTGTATCCAAAAATTAGAAGTTTATGTCCTGAATTTTAAATTAGCAATTCAAAAAATTCAGAACACTTAATCCTGAGTTTCAAATTAACAGCTCCAAAATTTAGGACACTAAGTCCTGAATTCCAAATTAGCAGCTCAAAAATTAAGGATACAAAATTCAGAATACTTAGTCCTGAAATTTGGATGAATTGGCTAAGTTTTAAATACACTGTAAGTTGTGAATATATTTTAAATAACAGGCTTAAAAGTGGCTACTAATGCAATCGTCACTTCTACTGCTTAGCTTCGGTTGTGAAATTGGGCTTTAGCTTTACCAAAGCCTATCTCTTTATACTCGGAGGTCTAAAGTTTGAAAGGTCAAAGCAATTGAATGCAGTAGTTACAATTTTGCGATATGACAAATCATTTACGTCCGCTCTCAAAATAATAGCCGATTATTTTTGTATATATATACACATTACGTATATTATATATAAAAATTATACAAATTTTATATATTTTTTTGGCTATCGAATATAAATAATTTCTGGCCCATTTTTTCGACAAATTACTTCAATTTTTTGTTGGGAAAATTACGCGACACATCAAACATTTACACTGTATTTATCATCCGTAGCTATTCTTTCAACAAAATACTATTCGTAGCTATATTTGAATTTTATAGCAAATCCATGAAATAAGAGATTAATTGTTTTGATCTTAAACAACAGAGCAACAAGTCCTTGTAGCTTAGTTGGTTAGAGCGCCCGCTTAGTTAACGGAGGTCTTGAATTCAACTCTCAACGACAATATTTTATTTTTCTGTATTTCTGTATTTCGCCTTAGTTGTATTCATTGTGCGTCTGAATATAAATAATACAAGTTAGTAACAATTATAGTAGCTACGGATGATAATTAGGTAAACCATACTAGGCTTTATAGAAGTCCTCTTTCTTTTTCTCGATTAAGTCTTCAATGGAGATATGACTAACTGGGTGTCGGTATCTCCAAGAATCACTTCTGGTATAGTTCCCCAAGATGGCATCAGGGTTTGTTTTGCCCGATAATTAGTACGATTAGAATATTTATATGAATAATTTTTGCATTAAAAAATTTAATAAACTACAAGGACACAGTAACCGAATAGCTAAGGTTCATGCATCAGAATCTCATCGATCTTGCCAACTTTAGTATTGGAATGCGATATTATACTCTGTGTTTACATCAAACTATATCAACTTGCTATGATTAAGTGATTTGCTGTCAAATCATTCTATTTCTTAATGCCATTAACATGCGTAATTCTTTTTGGAATGAAATTTAATAGAAAAAGATCGTCCTGAAACAGATAACGTCAAAATAAACTACATTAGCATATAAATGAAGTTTAACCTTTAGAAAACACTAGTGAAATACCAATATGAACTCTTGAGTAAATAAAAATGCCATTTTGATACTGCTTAGTTTAACTGATGATTTGTGCATTAGTTATTGTATCAAACTAATCTGACTGACCAAGTTTCTGCCTAGTGATTTCTTCCAATTGTTCAGTCATCTCTAGTGTCAGATGGTTTTTCCAATCTCCAACTTGACCTTTCCTTGAGAAATGCCGGTTCTCAATAGCAAATTGTGGACTGAAATGTTGCACTCCGGTCTGATTCACTTCCAAACTGCTCAAATTCTTAAAGCTACAAATTTTTATTATCTCCTGCATAACACCTTCTTTCTTTTCTTCTAAGGAAAAAGGAAAAAGGCTTATCCAAGAACTTGGCCAATTTGATAAGACAGAGAATGGGATCTTTGTTCATGTCCTCGTATGTCAAGAAAAGTACCTTGTCTGGATTTTCCAAGCTTGCCTTCCAATAACCCAACACATGATCCCAAAAGGGTCCAAAATGTGACACCCCTTTGCAAAACAAATCAAGTGCATCTTCAGGTCTCAATTTTGTCATATAATGCGAATTTGAAACAAAAACACCTTTGGTCTCGCGAAAAACATACACAATTTTGCAGCCAGAAGATATCACAGAGAGCAAGGAATGTGGGTTGCTAAAAGGCAGTGTGACAAACATGAAATCTGATAATCTTGGTAGGAAGTTTCATCTCGTATTATATATTCCAAGAAGGGAATACAATCATGGGGGCCATTGGTAAGCAAAGGGTGAGAAGAAAAATTGAATCACACGCGATTCATGATAGAGAAAATAAGGGCCTTGAACCATGTTGTTCCTGATTTTGGGAGAGTAGCTAGCAGAATATCAGTGGATTGAGCATAGATGCATTGCTGAACCAACTTAACTCCTTTAACAAATGTTGGAGTTAACCAAACTGACTGGTATTCGTATACATATTCAGTGATCCAACCTTTCTCTTTGGGAAGAGTTGTGACTTGTGAGCCTGTCACTGTCATTTTCATCTGCTTTATTGTATTCATCATCAAGCTGATAATGTGAACAACGGGAAAGGGACATAGAAGCTGAAGTCTAAGGATAGATGGACTAACTCAACCTCTCAAATAGCTAGAATGACCATAAGGATGGGAATGGCAAAGTAAACTTCCTAGGAAGATTAATAACTTTTCTTGCCGAGTTTAGCAAGCAAAACTTAGTTATTACTTGTGATCTGAGGAAACTTCCCCTAAATTCAAGATAATCCGAGCATGTAAGCCAGATGCACTTTACCATAATAGCACTTAAAAAATGGAGGGAGAACTAGACGTATCTTGCTAGGCAAAGACACGTTAAAATGGATAGCTTTCGGGTGGGATTGACAGGATAGATCACATTTGAGTTTGATTTGCCAAAGATTGTAGACATTTAGGACCATTTAAGTGACCAGCTCCACTAATTTGTTAGTAGTATCCTTTTTTTTAAATCTTTTTTTTGGATGGGATAGTTTCTTATCCATCCTTCAAAAAGCTTCTTCCTTTTTAGAATTGCTCGTCAAAGTAAGCATTTACCGACCGGACAAAACTTGCTGTTGAAATATCCCAGAATCATTTCTGGTTCATTTTTCCTAGAAGGAATGAAGTATTAGTTTTGCCTCACAATTTGTAGATTAATATATAGACATGCATAAAATAACCAGTTTTTTTTGCAAATAAAATGAACCACAACAGCAGCACAATATCCAAATAACTAAGGTTCATGCATCCAAATTTCATCAATGCATGGCAACTTCTAAAATATGGAAACACAAGTTAGGGTGTCAAGCCACTCATTGTTTTCACTGCTATTAATATGTACGAAATCATTCTTTACGGAATGAAAGTTTAATGGAATAAAATCACTTTACAATTGCACCAACACCAGAACAATTACATTTGCATATTAAAAAAGGCTAAGAATTTAAAGAATGGCAGTGAAGCAAGTATTTATTTCTTACAACCCTGGAGCAAATCATAATGTCATTTGATTGCTGTTTATACTGTTTGACTAGCGATTTATCCCTTGGTAGTTGGTACTTAGCTTAGAGCACTAACTTATGCCTCGACAGTAGAGGGTATTGTATCGACAAACAAAGTTTCTATCAAGCTAGTCCCAGCAAATTTCTGCCTAGTGATTTCATCCAACAGTTGGGCCATCTCTAGCGTCAGATGGTTTTTCCAATCTCCAACTTGACCTTTCCTCAAGAAATGCCGGTTCTCAACTACAATTGAATTGAAATGCATCACTCCGGTCTGGTTTACTTTTAAACTACTCAAACTCTCAAATCCACAAAGCCTTGCAATCTCCTGCACAGCCCCTTCTCTCTCTTCTTCCAAGGTAAAAGGCCTATCCAAGAACTTAGCCAATTTGGTAAGACAGAGAATGGGATCTTTCTTCATGTCCTCGTACATTATGAAAAGTATCTTGTTCGGATTTTCCATGCTTGCCTTCCAATAATCCAAGACATGATCCCAAAAGGGTCCACAATGTGAGACACCTTTGCAAAACAGATCAAAGGCATCTTCAATCGGAAAAGATGGTAGTTCTTTGGGTCTTATTTTTATCATATAATGCCAAGTTGAAACAAAAACATCTTTAGTATCGCGAAAAACATACACAATTTTGCAACCAGACGAAACTACAGATGCTGGTAACAAAGAGTAAGGAATGTGGGTTGCGAAAAGGCAACATGGCGAACACGAAATTTGGTAATCTCGGTAGGAAGTTTCATCTTGTATGATGGATTCCACGAAGGGAATGCAATCATGGGGACTCTTGGCAAGCAAAGGGTGAGAGGAGAAATCGAATCGAGCACGATTCGTGATGGAGAAAATAAGGGCCTTGAACCATGTTGTTCCTGCTTTTGGGAAAGTAGCTAGAAAAAAATCTGTGGGTTGAGCATTGAAGCATTCTTGCACCCTCTTAATACCTCTAATAGCTGCTGGACTAAACCAAAAGGACTCGTATTGGTAAAGATGTTTAACCATCCAACCATTTTCTTTGGGAAAGCTTGAGAGCATATCACTGTCATTTTGATCATCTTTCTTGTATTCATTTTCATCATTGTGTTCGCGCTGAGAAAAATGGGAACGGGATATGTCCATGGAGCAAGTCGAAAATTGATGAAGTCTAGACCAAATTAACTCGTATTCACCAGATCGAGTCAGAACTGAACCCACTGATCTAAAATCTTGTCCCTCTTGTTGTGAGAAGACTGAAAGGATGATCAGAACGGCTAATAACTCTTCTATTATTCAGAGTATAGCAATAAAAAAAACTCAGTTGTGATTTGTGATCTGAAGTAGAAACACTTTGTAATTTAGACGATTTAAGAAAGCATTTTACCAGAATAAGTAACACTTGCAATGCTTTGACTTAGCTAGCTAGGTAGCTATCAAATAAAGTAGTTCTGTACTTTTATCCAATTTCCGTGCAGTATTAACAATTGTCAGACATTCAAACATCATTCCATTTCTGCTAACTAAAAACAATTTGGAAACGGATTTAGGGCTTATGTCTTATATCAGAACAAGAGAGGAAATCTGGAGAGAAACAAAGGGAACTTACTTTTTTTTGCAGGGAGATCGTGAAGTTCGCCGGAGAAATAGAGAGTACCCGGCACTGCAAATTCGCCCGGAGAGAGATTGGGAAGAACAGATATGCTGTAGTTAACATTATCAAAATTTTATCTCATACTTTATCTTAATGATTGCGCGTCACTGAAAAATGTACATAAAGTAGTTTTTCAAGGTATAACACTTTTCATAGAAAATAACTTCATTTAAAGACATTTTTCCCATGTCAAACGAATTTAATAAAGTTCTGGAAATAGAAAAATATAAAACTAAGTTCCTACTTTGAAAAAGGGATAAATATAAAGCGACTGCCTTTAGATATAAAGCTTATCTTTCTTGTTTTATAGTATTTCTTTGTAAAATTATTTAAATTTAATATCATTAATGTAAAAATTTATAATATGACTATTTTACCAATTTTCTATTATATAAACTTTTGTAATTAATTTATTTATGAATATTAGAGGAATGTTTGATCGGGTTCCTGTAGAAACAAATCCAAAAGAACCTTAATTTGTTTCAAAACCCGGAGATTTCAAACCAAAAGCGGCTTCTAAAAAACAATTCAAGTAAAAGATGTAGTGGAAGAGAGAAACTGATCGGTCCTCTAACAACTCTCTCGCACCAGTAAATCCAGCTCCAACAAATAGTTGCAGAAAATGACAACAGAAATGCAACTGAAAACATCAACAACTGGAATGATATTCTAGCTTGGAGGAATTTGAATCGGTATAGCTATTACAATGACAGAACTTAAAAAAAAGAAAGAATCAGTATAACTATTACAATATCGATCCCCAGAATCATTTCTGGTTCAATTTCCCTAGAAGGAATGAAGTTTTAAGTTTTGCCTCTCAATTTATAGATTAATACATAGACATGCTATTAATAGGTGAGAAGTCATTCTTTTCAGAAATGAAAATTTAATGGAATAAAATCACTTCACAGTTGGACCAACTGCAGAACAATTACATTTGCATATAAAAAAGGCTAAGAATTCAAAGAACCACAGTGAAACAAGTATTTATTTATTACAACCTGGAGCAAACAAAGTTTCTATCAAGCTTGTTCCAGCAAGTTTCTGCCTAGTGATTTCATCCAACTGTTCGGCCATCTCTGGTGTCAGGTGGTTTTTCCAGTCTCCAACTTGACCTTTTCTCAAGAAATCCCGGTTCGCAACAGTAAATTGTGGACTCAAATGTTGCACTCCGTTCTGATTCACTGCCAAACTGCTCAAATTCTCGAAGCTACAAAGCCTTACAATCTCCTGTACAAATCCTTCTCTCTCTTCTTCCAAGCAAAAAGGCTTATCCAAGAACTTAGCCAATTTGGTAAGACAGAGAATGAGATCTTTCTTCATGTCCTCGTACGTCAAGAGAAGTACCTTGTCCGGATTTTCCATGCTTGCCTTCCAATAACCCAACACTTGATCCCAATACGGTCCATAATGTGACACGCCTTTGCAAAACAGATCAAATGCATCTTTGATTGAAAAAGATGGTAGTTCTTTGAGTCTTACTTTTGTCATAAAAAGCCAATTTGAAACAAGAACATCTTTGGGCTCGCGAAAAAACATATACAATTTTGCAATCAGAAGACATCACAGATGCCGGTAACAAAGAGTACGGAATATGGGTAGCCAAAAGGCAACTTGGCGAACACGAAATTCGATAATCTTGGTAGGAAGTTTCATTTTGTATGATGACTTCCAAGAAGGGAATGCAATCATGGGGGCCCTTAGTAAGTAAAGGGTGGGAGGAGTAATCAAATCGGTCACGATTCATGAGGGAAAAGATAAGGGCCTTGAACCAGGTTGTTCCTGATTTTGGGAAAGTAACTAGAATAGTATCTGTAGGTTGAGCTTTAAAGCATTCTTGCACCCTCTTAATTCCTTTAATAGCTGCTGTATTGGTAAAGATGTTTAGTGATCCACCCTTTTTCTTTGGGAAGGGTTGTGAGCATATCACTATCATTTTGATAACATTTCTGTTAATATTTACTATTAACAAATAAATTTGGTCCAAAAAATCAATCGATCATTTGACAGAATCCGAATCCGAATAGCCGAGCCGAGCGAGCAACGACGACGACGACGGCGACGACACGAGGCTTGCCTTCTTCTTAACTCTCTAAGAGCTAGAAGAAGAGCAATTGTATGTATACCCATCAAAACCTTTTCCTCTTCCAATATGGGACAATGTCCCTTAGGAGGGAATCTCAAATATTTTCAGTTTCCCTCAATTTCCCATTCACCCTCTTTTAAGCTACATTTAAGCTTTAAAAACCCAACAATCCCCCACATGAACGGGGAATGGCTATATCACGGAAATATGCATGAAAAGCTGTGCGATTCGCAAGCAAGGATTAATTGTATCTGGATAAGTAAGTTTCCCTTTGAACTTTCCGTAGTAAACTTATATCGGATATACTCGGTCAATTGGTAGATTTGATATCTTTGAACCGTCGAACTTTGGTGTATACCTAGACAATCATAAGTCACACAACCAACCCTTAACCGTCTTTGGCTCTCATTGTTGTGTTCGTTTCAGCCATGAACACTGCCTGGTTTCATAAGTGCGTAGAGAACTGGCCTTACAAAATTCTCCTTGAAGCGGATAACACTTCACACTTACATAGGTGATTCCTAAATGTATTATCCCGTAAATACACTATTTGATATACCCCGTATCAAATTTAGAAATCATTAAAAAACCTTAATATTTTATCCTTGGTACTGAACATTGTCTCATCACGAGAATGGACCAAAATTTTAGTTGACTATGTTGAATCGTCATTAATGACTTTGTTTGACCTCCTTGAACCTAGATCTTGGGATCTCCAGTCTTCTAGGTAGAGTTACCGCCACAATGGCTTGTTCTCAGCCATAGTCCCATTCCCCTCGATGATTTCTCAACTACCTCTCTAGTTAGGCCTTTTGTAAGTGGATCCGACACATTATCGCTTGACTTTACATAGTCAATCGTGATGATTCCTCTAGAGAGTAATTGCCTAACGGTTTTATGTCTTCGTCGTATATGACGAGATTTACCATTATACATCACGCTCTCAGCCCTTCCAATTGCCGCTTGACTATCGCTATGTATGCATATTGGTGCGAATGGTTTGGGCCAAAATGGAATGTCTTCTAAGAAATTTCGGAGCCATTCAGCTTCTTCACCGGCTTTATCTAAGGCTATGAACTCACCCTCTATTGTAGAGCGGGCAATACAAGTTTGCTTGGACGACTTCCAAGATACCGCTTCTTCACCAATAGTGAATACATATCCACTTGTGGATTTAGAATCAGTTGAACCGGTAATCTAATTTGCATCACAGTATCCCTCAATAGGATATTTACTGTAGTGCAAAGCAAAGTCCTGGGTATGTTCTAAATATCCTAAAACTCGTTTCATTTCCATCCAATGAGATTGACCTGGATTGCTCGTGTATCGACTCAATTTACTTATAGCACAAGCTATATCTGGTCGTGTACAATTCATGATATACATTAAGCATCCTAACACACGAGCATAATCCAATTGTGATATGCTTTGGCCTTTGTTCTTTGCTAATGCAAGATTCACGTCAATTGGAGTCTTTGCAACTTTAAACCCTAAGTGCTTGAATTTTCCAAGTACTGTCTTAATATAATAAGATTCTAACAATGCCAGACCTTGAGGAGTCTTATGGATCTTAATCCCCAGAATTCAATCAGCAACTCCCAAGTCCTTCATATCAAACTTGCTAGTTAGCATACGCTTAGTCGCATTTATGTTGGCAATGTCATTACTCATTATCAACATATCATCCACATATAAGCAAACAATGACTATGTGATTTGGGACATTTTTTTAAATGTACACACATTTATCACATTCATTTATCTTAAAACCATTTGACAACATTGTTTGGTCAAATTTCGCATGTCATTGTTAGGGTTCTTGTTTTAGTCTGTAAAGGGAATTAATAAGTCTACATACCTTCTTTTTATTACCTGAAACCACAAACCTTTCAGGTTGTTCCGTGTAGATTTCTTCCTCCAAATCTCCATTTAAGAAGGTCGTCTTAACGTTCTTTTGATAAATTTCAAGACCATAAACTGCAGCTAATGCTACTAACATTTGTATGGATGTAATTCTTATAACTAGAGAGTATGTATCAAAATAATCAAGACCTCCTCGTTGTTGACTACAAGTCTTGTCTTATATTTATCAATAGTGCCATCATCTTTCATTTTTCCCTTAAGAATCCATTTAGAACTCAAAGGTTTATTTCCAGGAGGAAGATCAACCAATTCCCATGTATGGTTGTTCAATATGGATTCCATTTCACTATTGACTGCCTCTTTCCAAAACAATGATTCCGAAGAAGACATAGCTTCTTTAAATGTTCGAGGCTCATTTTCCAATAAGAAAGTCACAAAATCTGGTCCAAATGAAGTAAACGTTCTTTGACGTTTACTACGTCTTGGATCCTCCTAATTAAATATACTTTCTTTTGTTTCTTCCCAAGTTCGTTTATATCTTTCACCAATCGACTCTTTCTAATTTATGAAATATCCTATGAAAACACAATCAACGGTTTTCGTTCCTATTTCTCTTTTGGGTTTAGGAACTTGCACTTTTACCAAATACCCTAACACTTTAAAATAATTCAAGTTAGGCTTCCTTCCTTTCTATTTTTCATATGGAATGGATTGTGTTTTGCTATGGGGTACTTAATTTAGTATCCAGTTAGCCGTAAGAATGACTTCCCCCCACAAGTTCTGTGCAAAACCAGAACTTATCAATAATGCGTTCATCATATCCTTTAATGAATGATTCTTTTTTTCCGCAATCCCATTGGATTGGGGCGTGTAAGGGGTTGTTGTTTGATGAATAATTTAATATTCTAAACATATTTCTTCAAAAGGAGATTCATATTCATCACCCCTATCACTTCTTATTATTTTGATTTTCTTGTTAAGTTGCGTTTCAACTTCATTTTTGTATTGTCTGAATGCGTCTATTGCTTCATATTTACTATTAAGTAAGTAAACAGAGCAATATCGAGTATTGTCGTCCATAAAAGTTATGAAATACTTCTTTTCACCTCGATATGGTATTGACTTCATGTCGCAAATATATGTGTGAATTAAGTCTAAAGGATTTGAATTCCTTTCAACTGACTTATAAGGATGTTTAACATACTTATATTCCACACATATTTGACATTTTGATTTGTTGCATTCAAACATAGGCAATACTTCCTAATTAATCATTTTTCGCAAGGTTTTATAATTGAACTGACCCAAACATATATGCCATAATTCATTTGACTCAAGTAAGTAAGAAGAAGTTGAAATTTTATTATTATTCTCAAAAAACATTACATTCAGCTTGAAATGGCCCTCAGTGAGGTAACATTTTCCTACAAATATCTCATTCTTAATTATTACAACCTTATCGGATACAAAAACACACTTAAACTCGTTCTTAACAAGAAGTCCAACAAAGACTAAGTTCTTTCTAATCTCTAGAACATGAAGGACGTTGTTCAAAGTCACCACCTTACTAGAAGTCATTTTCAGAAATATCTTTCCACATCCTTCAATTTTGGCCGTTGCAGAATTTCCCATAGAAAGCGTCTCTTCGGGTCCAACAGGAGCATATGTAGCAAACGCTTCTCTAACAACACAAGCATGGCGAGTGGCTCCAGAATCAATCCACCACTCCTTGGAATTTCCCACCAGATTGCATTCAGAAAGCATAGCACACAAGTCATCAACATCTTCGTGCTTTTCAACCATGTTTGCTTGACCTTTCTTCTTGTCTTTCTTTGGATCAAGGCAATCTGGAGATCTGTGTCCATCTTTTCCACAATTATATCAATTTCCGTTGAACCGCTTCTTGCTTGGGTTGATTTTCGATCCAGAAGCCTTATTCCTCTTTCTAGGAGTATCCTCAACAATGTTTGCTCCCATTATTGTTGAGTTTCCACGACCTTTCTTTTCAGTAGCTTTGTTGTCCTCTTCAATTCTCAAACGAACAAGAGATCTTCAAGGGACATCTCCTTGCGTTTGTGTTTCAAGTAGTATTTAAAGTCCTTCCACAAAGGAGGCAACTTCTCAATCATCGGTGCAACTTGAAATGCTTTATTGATGACAAGACCTTCAATGAAAATTCTGTTAGTAAAAATAATATAATTAATACTTTTAGTATTAATTTGACTTATACTTTCAGCAAGGAGATCATGAATAATCACTTGCAATTCCTGGATATGGGTAATAATAGACTTGCTATCTACCATTTTGTAATCCAAATATTTAGAGGCAACAGATTTCTTTAATCCGACATCTTCCGTTTTGTATTTCCTTTCAAGCGCTATCCACAGTTGTTTTGAGGTCTCCACATTACGATAGAC